GAATTTTTAAGAGCTTCTTTTCTGATTTTCCTCTTCAGCCTGGAAGTTAACTTTTTGGACGCCCTTTATGCTCACTGTTTTCAGTTGAACCACGTTCTTCATTCCTTCTTATGAATTATCTCACTGTAGAAAAATTCAACCCTAAGAAATCGGCAATTTGGCGATATGTTTTTTGCTGACTCCTGAGTAAAACAATTTTTTCACGAGTTGCGGCACACAGCTCACTTGTCTTTGGCATGATAACTGTCTATTGACTAAAGGAAACTGATTGAAAGACTAGAGAATACTGGTAATAAACGATTACAGATAAATTAGTAAACAAATCTATGACCTATGGACACAGGAGGATTAATGCCAAAGTAAACAGAGCTTGTGAGTCATAGTGTGCAAATACTTTTTTCCAAGCACTTTTATTGTTTTAATTTTTTTGTTTCATTATGGAGTGTTGTCATTTTTTTCCAAAAGGTTTTTCTCAGTTTTTAACAAATGTACTTTTCATTTTTGCAGAGGAAAGCAAAGTTTTTTGGTTCCTTGAACTCATTTATTCATAAAAACATGATGTGCAAATACTGTTTTCCATCACTGTAAGTGTAGTATTGTTAAAGGAAACTGTAGGACTGAAAGTCATAGGTTTACGACGAAGGGTAAAGGTAAACTGGTATGATTTATTGGAATTTATTTTAATTCTCCAGTTTTGACACTATTCTTCAAGATTTATGATGTGTGATTGAAGCATTTGGGATGCAATTGATGGGTCATTGTTTACTAGAAAACTCTTAAAGTTGTATTTCAGAGGGAAACAAATGTTGGATATGTGTATTTGTTAGAAAATATAGCCAATATAAATTCATGTTAATAGTTACTGGTAATTTAATGGTAATCATGTTTGATTTTGACTGCCATAATTTCCAGTTGTATAGAAGAGAACGTGCTCCTAGTATTTTTGAACACAGCCATTTCAAGAGAAAGCTATTAGATAAATATGTATACCTATTGAAACATTCAAACACATGCAGATATATTTATGTAAAAGAATGCAGAGATCTATAGTGTCTACGGGACTTGAAATACCAGTCAAAGTCAAATCATTTCGGAACCTGAAAAAGTTAGGAAATAAAAAAAAAAACATAATGCGATAATATCTCTGTGATCAATATTCCTGTTGACGGCGATGAAGTTGTATTACTATATACGTTTTTTACTACTATCTAGCATTATATCAGTCACACAAAATGCAGTAATCTACTAAAATACAGACAACATATTGTGTTATGTGTGTAGAATCCTTAAGTTCTTAAGAATTTTACTAGCTTGAGCATGCAAGCGCGAATTCTCTCTCTATTATGATTTAGATTCGTTATTGGTCACAACGAGCTTAAATGATAGTGATATGTCCATTATTTAACATCAAACATATTACTGTACATTAATAGATATTTATTATTATATTCTTAAAACTATTTATTGAGGCAGTTTGCAATTTTTAAATTTTACTATGCCAAAAGAAAAGTGTTACAAGCATTTCTCCAGTAATAAGCATGAAGGAGTTGATATTATTCTTGAAGTAGTGTGAAAAAATATTCCTTCAATCAAATACAATTTCAATAAAAACTTTCCATTTCATTATTATTATTTTTTTAATAATATTTTTAATCTTAATTTAGCCATTAATGTTTTATGATTTCAAAATAACATATTAAATACTTTTAAATATTCTTTAGATTATTTTTTAAAACATTTTTTATTTACCTTTACTTATATTATATGCATTATCCACAGTGTGTTGTAATATGTTTTATTAGATTTTGCTATATTTTAAAATGCTTTTCTGATGTTTTGATTAGCGGTAAAAAATTAGAAATTTGTTGAAATTTCATTTTTTAATAATAATTTTAATATATTGTAAATAATGGTAATTCCAATTGTCAAGTGTTGGATCGCTTATCGCCATTTCTTCCAAACAGTTACGAAATCTATCTGAGTTGATTGCTGGTTTGAATTTCTAGCTGACATATTTTGTACTAAGATTTTTTTTTTTTTTTTACATTTATTAAATCACACTAGTGTAGAAAAAAAATTATTAGGGAAACAAAATTGATAACTCCATCAACTGTCTGTTAAAGAGTTAGTCAGTTTAAATTTGTTTGTTTTTGTGATATCGCTTAATTTATATTAAAAAGTGATCTATGGAAAATGTACTCAGCTTACTGTATGCATCATTTATTCTGATTTGATTGAGAATACAATAATAATACAGAATACAACAATAATCTTATATGCTTATCTGTTTTATTTATTTGTTCACAGAATGTCATCATGAAAATGAAATCAGACCAAGAGATCCTATCAGGTGTCGAGAATGTGGTTATCGTATCATGTACAAAAAAAGAACTAAGAGATGTATCCTTTTCCACTTTAATCATATTAATAATACCATACCAATAATATGTTATTTCAGCTTATAATAATTTCTTATCACATTATTTCAAACTATTAGCTATTAATTACAAAAGATATATTATATCTGATCTATAGATTATTTCATGTTTATTTTTATTTAAAAATATCAGGTTGGTCGGAATTATGATAGTTTTTTGTCAATGCTCCTTCGGGTGCATCTTATCATCTTTGCTAATTGCAATCTATCTTAGAGAAAAAGTATACAAACATGCAACCTATTTCATTCTTATTAGGAAATAGTCATCAAAACATTAAAGTTTTGCTGAAGGGTTTATGGAAAGTTGAGAAGATAACTGAAAACCAAGTCCTCAGTTGTGCCACTCAAATAATTGGCAGATTGGAATGAATCAGTCATTTGAGAAATACCTCATCTCCATTTCCATTGAGGTGTTTATTTCGAGTCGACAGTGACCCATTTACAACTATAAGTCCTGATAACTTTATGGTTCTAATTTTTTGTTTTTTTTATTACCCCCTACCATTTCTGGTATGGGGGGAGGGGAAGGAGGTTGTTCTAGAGTTATAAACAAACCTGTTCTAACCAGAGTGGGAAGACAGAGATTCATTCTATTGGTCCAACATGAAATAAACTTTATTTTGCCTAGGCCGTATTTGAACCGGTATTGCTAGACTGGAGAATGATAAAGTTAATGTTATGCTTTAACATTCTCGGTCATCATACCATAATTATAGTGCTCCTTTCCGTAAATAGGAGTAATGCATTTCTCTTTGGACAGAGCTCTTGAAGGAATAACTTAAGAGTGTGTTTGTTTCCTAATATTCTTAATAGAACTTAATCTTATTTTCTACTGCTGCCATGATATATTTTTTGGAACAGCTGAGGCTGATACCACACTTGGATACTGGTGCTAAAGGAAACTGTTCTGAGCCCTTCCTAGCAAGGCTATGAGTTTAAAAGCCAGGGATGCCTCCAGAAGGGTGTGCCATCAAAATTTTTGAGGGAACATGTTTTTCCAGTGATTTCAATTTCTAAAGGACATTATGGAGAGAACCATGTTTTTGGCAACTATTTTGGGGAACTTTCATAATATTTTTTTCTAATTCTACTTCTACTTTTGCTGTTTAAGAAGTGGAAATCTAAAACATTGCTCGGGAGAGAGACATGTGCCATGAATCTTGGGAGGAATGGGCAAACTTGTTATTATATTTCAACTTGCAGAAAACATAATTTTTTTTATAATGTATTGGTTAACTTCATATAGTTTCTGAACCTCTAAATTAATGTTATTAATATGTTCCTGAGTATTTTCCTTAATGTTTTTATTTTTAGTGGTGGTTTTTGATGCAAGATAAAACTACACAGAGATACTGAAGACTGCCTGAGATATTGAATGTATAAATTAAGTTAATGTTTGTGTTTAGTTTTTTAGGTAAATCAATGTAAATAACTTTTTAAAAATTGTACATAATTTATTTTGTTACATTTGATCTGTACATATATAATGTGAATCACATTATTTGAAGTAACTAACAACATTTGTTATATTCTTTTCACTACAAAAGATAATGTTTATATGACATTTGGTTTCTATTTCTTTCTTCTATTTTTTTTTTTTTGAAGTTGTTTGGATTTAAAAACATTACGATTGTAATCATATTAAATTTTAGGCCTTACAATAAATAAAAATAAAACAATTTATTCATTTTCTCTTAAAGAAACTAATAAGTCTCTTGATTCAATGTTGATTAATCATTTTTTTGATACAAACTGATATCAAAACTATACTTAATGAACAATAATCAACAAAGCAAATCAAGAGACTGTTGTATTTCATTACCCAAAATTTCCTTTGTATACCTATGTAATTTCTTAACATTTTACGTAATTTAGATAAACATACAAAAATCACAATGAATTTCGAAAAGAATTTATATATTTTTGTACACATCAATCACAAAGTTTGGGCCCTGTTTTCAAACTACATAAAACATGTCAAATAAAGACCTTGTATGTTGTTACTAATATACTTACATAACATAAAACCATTGACTCATACAAATAAAATTGAATTAATGTAATATTTATAAAATAGATTTTTTTATAAACTATTTGGCAATATGTATAATGGTTTCTTTCTATACAATAAACTATTTGTACTAAATTTTTTAAACTTCATAAAATAACTTAGTTATATTCTACATACAAATACGAGTCCATCTTCGGTTATCAACTCAATTGACAACAGTTGGTCTCAGATGACAATAGGAAATGTATATCACAATAGTTTTGGCGTGATATGTAGTTACAAATATATAAATATAAGTAGAATATACCAAGCCATATACATATATTTATATTCTTTTTTTGTAATTTTTTTATAAATTTATATAATAACAAATCAAAACAATTTATTAAGGAAAATATATATTTATAGATTTGATGAACTCTATACACATAGAAAAAGAAAAAAAACCCTACCTAAATTTAATAATATTTATAAAGAACAACACAAAATCACCATGAGTAGGTGTGTAAGCGTTAACAAATAAATTAGAGCGGGGAAATACGAGTTATTATTTCACCTAACACTGTCATCTGTAGGATTGCACTTGTTGCCCTCAATGGGTTGGCACAGGTTTTGATTCAAAGAAGTTTGAGGGAGGTTGTCAGTCTTGTGCTGCGCCTCGGGCTCGTCCTCAGAAGAAGAGTCTCCACCGGGCTCCCATGAGCCTAACTTACTAGGATCCTTCTCGTACAATTTTTGAGCAAGCAACTGCAGAAAATTAGAAGAAAATTATTTTATTGCAACTAAAATAACATTTAAAACATTCTTACAAATAAAATTTAAATTTACAATAATTATGAAATAAATATTAGTGAAAATTAAGTTACTAAAATTAGAAGTCATGATTCCATGTTGTATGAAAATAATAAAAAATTGGTGCGGTGCACGCATCACACAACTTTCACTTATCATCACCCTCTTCTTAGCAGAAATAAGTATTTTCCGACAATGCGAAGTGAAAGTAAAAATTACAGACTCTAAATTTATTTATATTTCATTGTGGGTGTTTTTATTTGTATAAGTACCCTTATATATCCAAATTTTAATATTTATATCGCTGTAATCTATATAATTAAATATTAAATAATACCAAAAATAGCATATATGAAAACCACATACATATACTTATATAATATTGTCGGAGTCCGTCTTATGTTTCATATGGAAGCGTGTTCTAATCTTTCGGGCGAGCTCGAGTGCGCTTGTATTTCTTTGGTTCCTCAATTACAACTATTCTTTGTTACGATCTCATTTCTCTTTTAGTTAATTACAAAATTCTTTCATATTTTATATTTAACTATCTTTTATATTAGAAATTAATGTGAAATGGTCAATGTTTTCAAATAAAAAAATTAAAGCTACTTTTGAGGAAGCTAATATTGAAAATTAGTCATTTAAGCCCTGTTAGAAAACATCAATCAGAATAAAAACAACAATTTATTTAAAGTGCCACTTCTGGTTAGCCAATTTTGACGAACAAGTTGCTGTAATATTCCTAGCATATAAAAACCTTAAATATGAAATTTCACTTCTGTACGACTTTTCGTTTTTGAGTTTGACTGTTAACACACACATACACAGACCATTTTGCGGGACTTTGTTATTTGGATTCAGGGGACCTCAAAACGTGTATTTCTGTTGAAAACAGATTCAAAAATGTTCACGATCGCAATACTTACCCATACTGTATATTACATATATAGGTAAGTAAAATTAATATCTTTGATTGTGGAAACTTTGAAGTGACATTTCTTTTACGCAATACCTATTGTTTTCAAGAGCTATTCTATTAAACAAAATATAATGCAGAGATTCTAAGAAGATATTGGATAATCTAGCAGCCATTTTTGAAAAGTTCAATACCTAATACAAAATAAATCAATAACTAAAATATATTAAGGGAGTACAACACGTCAAAACATCAGAACCATTTCATGCATGATGTCCTATTTGACATTGCGAAAAACTAGAAATATTTGAGATAAAACCTCATGACTTTGTTGACTCTTAAACATTCTACACTTTTTTGAAGATAAAATCGCTAACTTTGATCAAAGTATATTTAATTTAGAGGACATTGATTCACAATATACATATCCAGGATAGACAAACAATGAAGAGTAAAGTCTTCAAAGAAGGAAACATAAATGAACTGAAAAAATACTTCTACTGGAAGATTGAATCTACTTATTGCCCTTGAACTAAAAACAAGACTTATGGCCAATGCCAAATTATGTCTGTCTGCTATAATCTACAAGTACAAGAAATGTTGATACTCATTCTAATGGAGAACATTGATTGAGAATCCTTCCGGATTTTAAGGCTTAAATATAATAAACTAATAAGATGATGATAAACCATTAATGAAGGAAGATATGATAATTAATAAACACAATGTTGAGCAAGTTTTTTTTCCACATAGGATCAAAATTAGCAACTTATTAGAGCCAAAAAGAAAGTTTACCACAAAATCAATTTTTTTTTCTTCCTTTCCTATTTATTTTTTTGTTTTGACATTCCACTGGCCTACAGCTTTAAAGCTATAATGTTAAACATAGATACGTATTTCTAATAATAGAAATTATATTTCTGATAATAAAAACATTAAACCATTTAATACTTATGATAATATAAAGTTTTGATATTTTATAGATGGTAAAATAAATCTGTACCCCCGAGTTAAAGCGCACCATACCACATTTTTATATATATTCAAGAAGCCTATTTTCCATTACTTTGATGTATTAAAATCTGTTTCTTAGTTACTAAATTATTTAATAAAAAAATGGACATGGTGTTCTTTTCTGCCGGGGCACAGAAATGTTAATAAATAATTAATATTTTGATTGCAAAAATGTTACCTGTAGACTTTCCAATGAGTTTTCACAGTCTGTTGTGTCAATGTCATTCATATTCATCCCAGACCTTTCCAATTCAGCGTATGTTCCGAACGGAAGTTTACCCAAACACTCCAATTTCATGATATGCATCTTTGAACGGAGATGTTTTGCAAGATGGCCATGAATACGGAATGCAATTTTACAGTCATCACACTTGAATGGCCGTGGGTTGCTTGAAGTTGCAGTTCCAAAAGTCGAGTTCATATTCACCTACAATAAGATATTTGCATGTGATTTTGGACATTAAATTACGCTTTTGTATAAACCTGTTAATGAAGAATCTTTAAAAATAAAAAAGCGAAGTGAATTCTGTGATAAAATATAAAAATAAACAAAAACACTAAGAGAAAGCAAAGCAATTGAAAATTCATTTTATGTGTAATGTATGCATGTCACTGTAGTCAAAGGTATTTGTATTATATCTAAGTTTACACCTGATTTAAGTTTATTTCATTCTCTGTTCCAGAAATTTTTTTAACTTGTGTTCTAATTAAAAAAATAAATTAAATATCCAGGAAGGAATGCTATAATGAAATATAACTTTGTTTAATTACAATCACTACAGCCAACCTATCCAAAATAGCTTTGTTTGCTAGATTAATAAAAGTTTCGACCTATCTATAATGATTTTTACAAATTTTTTATTTGTGAAAAAAAAATAAGTATAGTAAAAAATTTCTTAAACATTTACTGAATGTTCGCTGTTATAATGTTTCTTAACATTCTTTAATCAAAGCAAAAGTTGGTAGACTGAAATAAAAATAGGTTGGCTGCAGCAGATATAGTTGTGTTCCATTACATATAATTCTATTTATACTTTTTCCTTTGATGAACTAAAAATTTAATTTGAACAATTAATGTTTAAAAATAATTAACAATAGAAAAACTCTTTTAAGTGGTTAAATTATCACAACCAGAAATACCTGGAATATTAAACCTCACACAAGAAGCTAATGACAATAAAAAATAATTTTATGTCAACAAGTTTGAAAGAGGTAGTTCTACAAAAAAATTTGTAAGCGAACGATATTTAAAAGTATTAGTAAACTAATTTAAATTTAAAAGTTTAGTGCTAGGTAATAACGTATGTGATGGGTAACAACGAAATAGTAATATAAATGATCGTGATAGTGCAGCCTATTGAAGCCTCAGATTCAACAAAAAAAAAAATAAAAACTGTGATCAGTTCTAAAGATCATTTAGTGTAAGAAGCGCAATATAAAAAATGCAGAAATGTTTTGCAACATAATTCAATGTGGTTACTATAGCATTTATTTAATTGTTTTTTATTTTTATTTGTGGAGCTTGCTTACATGAAAAACGTGCTTATTACTGGTCTATTAAACTACTTCTTAAAAAAATTCAATCCGAAGTTGGGAAATCTCACCTTCGGTTTTCCAAAATCAAAGTAACTCCCAAGCCGAAATTTTTGGATAAAAATCACAATGCTGATTTCCTCAATTCTCATCCTACAAAATGAAATCATTATGAAAAATTACTCGTTTACAGTAAGTTGCAGACGCGATAAATACCAGTGCAAGGGAGCCATGACATAACACATCAGCATATTCATAATAGACAAACAACTACAAACATCTCAAGTTTTGTGAAATCAAAAGGAAATTTTTGATCGGCAAGAGTTTAATTTGCAAAATCTATTTCACATAAATAATTTACCAAGTGCTAAAAAGTTATTTTATTTTTTGTAATGAGCTTACCTAAGACACTGACAAAGTATACCTATAATATTAAGAAAAAGATATATATATTTAGCTTTTATTTATCATTGTTTTTTCACTTACAACCAAATTTCTAATAAAAGAAAATAAGATTAAGACATTTTAAATGAAATTTTATAGAAATAACTTTAAATTTTCACTAATGTCCTGACTACAGAAGTACTGTCAGCAGAAATCCAATAATTACAATGATTAAACTAAAAAGAAGAAAATTGTATTTCCTTAATATGGAAAGATTATTTCAAAGAAACTTAAGATTAAAAATGAGAGTCAACTTAAACCAACCTTATTGAGATGAGAAAGAGATCTCTGATGCTTTTGCAAATGACCTTTAGTTCTAAAAGAAACAGCACATGATTCACATCTAAACGGGCGTTCGAAAAAATGAATATTCACATGTAATCTCAGCTGAGAGGGTTTATTGAATACTTTGTTGCAAACACCACACATACTACGCCCATCCTCAGTGGAACTAATGAATGAAACTGATGGCCCTGAAGTAGGTGGCATGAACTCAGCTTTGCCCTTTGGCTTAGGTGATGGTGGCTTTCCTGACATTGACAGAGCTAGCACACCAAGCGCTGACTCTTGTGCACTCGACATATCTCCAGTACATCCATCATCTGAGCATACTTGTCTCTGTTTGATTCTAGAATCATGTGCTGCCCTTTCGGTGAGGTAGGTATGGAGAAGAGTTGGGTTATCAGTCGGTTCAATAAATCCCCCAACAAGGGGTGCTTTCTCGGATGTTGAGCAGATAGTCTTTAAGAGGAGAGCTTGTCCTCCCACAGAGGTAATGACGGGTGTCTTTGAACCTGCTAAACAACAAAAAGAATGCTTTAACAATAAATTTTGAAGTTTAAGAATTTAGAAATAAAATAAACTATTTATTACTGATAGTGAAGCTGTAGTACTAAGTAAACAATAAGTAGCCAAGTAAAGTGTTGTTATTGAATACATTAATTAATCTATTAACTAGTTGGAATATATTTTGTATTTATACTTAACTAAATTTTACATAAATTAACAATCAAAGAACAGATATTTTTAATTATTAGCAATTCTGATTAGCCCCATACCTAAAGTTCATTATGGAACAAATTTTTTTCAAGATGATTGTTAAAACAGAAATAGAAATTTTCGATTTTCAACAAATACTAGGAATATTTTTATTCCTAATTTTATGGGAAATCATCTCTAGATGGGGACTGGCTGTAGAAAATAGATTCCAATCAATGGAAAATATCGCATTACAGGCATCAGTTTGGATTATGATTGGAGAAAGTAAGGCATTTTACTCTTGTATTTCGGTGAATTTTCAGTAAAATCTCAACATTTGTGATTTGTAACTGTTTCTACATATAATTTGTCCAATGCTGAGATATTAAGATGATTGGTGAACAATGGAAACGCTTTTTGGAAGGAGCACAAAGGAGTTTAGTAAGCTTAGCGTATTAGATACACCAAAGAGGTTGCAATGTTCATACCATGATAAAAAAATCAAGATTTACAATACCTTTCTAACTTATAAAGGCCATGATTTGGAATTATAATTTTAAAGAAAGAGTTAATTATTGTTTTAATTTTGGAAAAAGAAGTGTCCAAATGCCACCTTTATGTTTCAGTGCCAGTTTTGTCATTTTAACATTCAGGAACTATTCAGTCATTTTCATTCGGGATTCTATGAAACCGTGCACCAGCTTTTTAAATTCGTAATTTTTCAGGAATCCTTAGGCAGTATGCGTGCTTGAACTAGGTAATTATGGTTTTAGTTTTTTTCTAATTGTTATTATTTATCAATGATATTTTAAAGGCAAAGATTTCTGGTCAGTGGTTTGTAGATTGTCAGCGGCTCAACCTGTCTAGACCAGTCATTTTTTTTTTTTTGTAAGAGATAAGAATAATTTTTACAATACCTAAGATTTTCTTACACACAAAGCATGCCAATGTTTTGTAAGTATTTTTAATTTTTATTTATGCGAACAATTATTGATTCAGACATAACTTCAACTTTTATTTTAATGTACTTCATTTTTTTCTTATATATCTTTTACTAATTTCTTATTTATAATAATTGACTTTTTATCAAAAAACATCCTTTCTAATAAATTAAAACACGTTTTAATAAAAAGTAATTGTTTACCAAACAATTTTATTAACTTTTAGTTAAAACATAAATTAATGAACAATTATTATTAAAAATTTAACTGGAATTAAAACATTTAGAAATTAAATGTACCATTTGTCAGAATTTAAGGATATATCTGAACATGAAAGAACACATATTTTATTTCTTCTTTCAATTACATTTTTTTATTTTAATCTGATATTAGGGGGCAATTTTACATCTTATTTTTTTATTAATAACTAACAATATTGAATCAATCTAGAATTAAAAAAGAAATTATGGTGATAATAAATATTTGCATGAATAACAATTGTAAGACAGTAAAAGGAAACTAATTCATAGAATATGCAAAATTGAATTAAAGGTGGTTTTGAATGGGATTAGTGCTTATTGTTTTCAACAGACAGAACCATCTCTTGGTTCAGACATCCTAAATGAAAAACAAGAATAAAAAAAACTAAATGAACCGAACCACAATAAATTCAATTTTTTGTTAAAAAAGAAAATATAATTATTTGGAACTATAATTTGAAAATATAATTTTGCAATGCAGTTCAATTTTCACTTGAGTTTACTCAAAATATGTGCAATGTACATTAGTTCCTTTTCGTCTAATGCTATTCAATTCTTATATAGAGACAAACTATATAATTATATCAGTCCTACATTTTTGATCATTTGTGTATTTGTTAATTATTCCATTCTTGATATCTATAATGATTGGATACAACAATAAAAATCTATAATAAAAGCTATTATGCAGAATTAAACAGATGAAACTAAAATAATGCAATGTAGCAAATGTTCTGTAACAAGGAATTATTGCTGTAACCATATTTATTAGCTTAAAATTTATATTATAATTTAAAACATTTTAAAATAATTAAATATGTGGTATTTCTTATGAGTGGCTTCTTATCAAAGATGGACATCTGTCATTTTCAGAAAGTGAACAAAAATTGAATTTTTGTTTTATTGAATTCTTGAAGGAAGTTAGTCGACTGTTCTACATATCATGGGTGATAAATATTCAGGACGCATTCTTTTTAAATTTTTTATGTATGCCAACGTTTCAACCCTTTCAACCATATGTATTTCAACGTTTCAACATATGTGGGTCATCTTCAGGGCGTATCAAGTACTCAGTGTTGAGTACTTAAACACCCTCAGTGCTCAAACCACGCCCTGGAGATGACCCACATGTTTGGGTTGAAACGTTGGCATACATAAAAAAATTAAAAAGAATGCGTCCTGAATATTTATCACCCATGTTTTGTTTTATTGGTTCAACTCAAACTGTTTCTGAATTTCTCTAAGAATGTTCAATTTGAATCATGAAAGTAAATCATAATATTTGGTTTAAATTGAAGCTACATTCTCAACTTTTTAAAAATTAAAGATGTCAGTCTTTGATACGAGGTCACTCCTATGTGTATATATGTAATTTTACTTACACATGTATATATATTTTGAAATATAATAGAACAAATATATCAGAGATAGTTACCTAAAGTTACTACTGGTAATGTTTTGCTGCTGAGATCAATTGGCCTAATAGGTTCAGGAACAGATTCAATGCTCCCTAAGGAAGAATCACTGTGGTCTTTCATATCAACCTGAATTATTTCAGAACTTCCTCTCCAGGATTCACTGTGAGAACCACTCTCTAATTTTGACTCGACCACCTTAAAGAAAAAAAATATATGTTAACTATAAATATGATATGATCAGTATTCTATACTATTTGTAGTAAAAACATATTGTGTTTTAAATTTTATATTGTACCATATCTAGTTGTTAAAAAATCATATCAATATGACAACGAACGAATTTTGAACAACAGGTGGTTTTTCGGGTCAGTATCTGTTAAAATATCTCAAAAAGATAAAACATGATGAGGCCTATGCCAACCATCTTATTTAGGAAGATGAAAAGAAGTATGCAACTATTTTTTGTAAATTAGGTCTTCACCTTCCGCAAATCAGGCCATACTTAAAACTTGAATAAATTATGTTGTTTTTTTGGGATTAAAATTAAATCATAAGAAGGAATTTAATTAATATAGTGATAGTAACATTGTAAATCAGAGATTAAAATGTAATTAAATAAAATTACAAAACTTAGTAGGACTGATTGGTTCAAAAAATCTTATCAATTGCTTTCAATAGTCTCTCAATATAGATTATATACAGGAACAGAAACTCCTGAATAGCATTCATGAACTGATATTTTTTTGGGACTATAAGCTGTAAAGCCAAATCGCAATTTAAATATATATTATTAATTTCTTAATCATTAAGTGTTGTTTGCTTTAATTTTTTTTTATATACTCCTCAATTTGAAGAATAGTTTAAACTCTATTATTCAAATTGAGGAGAGATTAGTCAACAAAAGTGTTTATGACTCTTTCAACCTAATTCTTGAAATTATATAATTTTATTTCTTAAATTAAAAAGTTGCTGTAACATCCCAGCCATACACCCATCTGAAATATGTAATATCAATTTCTTACAACTTTTTGTTTTTGAAGCGAGACTGTTCGCGCACGCACGCACGCACGCACGCACGCACTCACACACACACACACACACACACACACACACACACACACACAGAGACCATTTTATGAGAATTGGTTATTTGGACTCAGGGACCTCATAATGTGTATGCCCGTTGAAAACTCAGATTCAAAAATTTTCATAATCATAATACTTTACCTTACTACATATTACATATGTAGGTAAGTGAGAGTAAAAATTAATGGAATTAAATTTTAATTCCAGGCATCTTATGTTATTCATGAAAGATAAGTACAAAAAAAAGTGTGTTGGATTACCTTACCAAATCTTTCTTGTAATTGGTTCAATAAGTTTACAGACAACTGTATGCTGACAATTTCCAAATCTAAACTTTTAACTTCTATTCGTTTTAATAAATGTGAAACAGTGGCACGGAATAATATATCAAAGGAGTCAGTATTACATAGAATAAACTAACCTGTGTCGAGGCAAAAGTATATGGGTACGTTCTAGGCCTCGAAAAAGCTGGGACCAGCCCTGCTTTCACATACTTCCTATGTGCTGTCTCGAGGGTAACTTCGGACAAGGATAAAAGAGACCTCGCAACTTCTCTTTCTGTCTGGCAGTCATCACCTATAAATTGAAGCATAACATAAGCTTATTGTATTATATTAAATGAATAATACAGACTTAATATCCTTTTAAATAATATTCTTTAATTTTTTTTTTTAAGCTAAATCACATAAGATAATTAAATAAAGAATAAATAATTGAAAGTTTATTAATTATTTATTCTAGTCATCACCCATGCTTTATTGAATACAATTCTACCATATTAAAAAAAAAAAAAGTCAATCTGGAGTTACTGAAGTAGTTGAGATGTAACAATTTTTGGATATAAATATAGAAAGTATTGAATAACTATCATAAAATTTAAGCACAAGAAAATAATTAACTCTTTCAAATATTATGCAGGGTGCCTAAAAGGAAGTGCAATGGCACAGGTCGCACTACCATAATTTTTTTTGGGAGAGGGTACATTTAGATAGGCTTATGAATTTTGGGATGGAATCATATTATTAGAGGGTTTGAATTTGGTGGAACTTTCAAACCATGGAACTCAATAAAAACAGGAAATAGACTACTATAAGTATAATTGCACATGAACTACAATTTTTGTAATTTTAATTTTGCTTGTATTGTTTTTAAGAAGAGGAGAGAAATATATTTTTTTTGGGAGAGGGGTGGCCTTGCACCATTGAACTTGGGGAGATGGGCATTCGTGGTATTATTTATCTATGAATTTAATTTTCAAAGCAAATTTAATGAAAACATACAAAATTTTTAAGTTAATAAACATAACATAATAAGGATAGGTTTCAGAATTATATAAAATAATTTGATAAAGACAAATTAGCCGGAATGATTTTATTTTATAAAATAAGGTTTCTTCCCTTGAAAATGGCCTAAAGAGTTAAAATATTGGTTAGAAGAAAAAATATAGCAGGGCTTAAAAAGTGTATCCTTATAATAAGCATTATCATTTCAGCAATTACCATTAATAAAAAAATATATTTATTTTTTAGACCCCCCAAACATTAAATTTTTAATCGTCTACTCCAGTTTTAATCTTCTAATTATACAACATATTAGGAAAGTTTATAATATTACCTTCCTCTTCTTCATCTGATTCATCTCCTTCCTCATCATCTTCATCATCATCATCCTCTTCATCTTCATCTTCGTCAGATTCATCACAAATACTTCCTCTGTCCTGACTATCATCCTGAAAATTATGATTGTAATAATTATTATTTTTTGTCTTATCAACTCGATAATAGTAATGAATTAAAAATAAGCAATACGACTGAAACCATTTCAGTCCGTACCATCTTATGTACATTTTCATCATCCGTGCAGTCCTCAGCAACAGTTGGGACAGGTGAAATTCCTAGTTCAACGCATTTCTTATAGTGTGCCTTTGACTTCATATGCTTTGTAAGGTTACCTTTCGTTTTGAAGCTACAAAAAAAAAAATATTTATCAGACAAGGAACTAAGTTTAACAAGGCAAAGAAAGGAATAAAGTTTAATAATTTCTTTATATGTTTTTTGATATGTCATTATTAGTAACATTGATTTTGATGATTATTATGTCCGAGTCAGCATTTAATTTCGATTAGTTAACGGAAATCTACACAATGAAAATTTTTTTTATACGAAATGTGTTTACTTTTTACATAGCTATCAATAATAATTTGTTTACATTTTATGAAATAATAAATTAATGAAGAATCATAAGAATAATTATCACCTGAAAGCACAATGTTTACAAGTGTAAGGCCTGAGATCAGTATGCGTTCTTATATGTTTCTTGAGCATAGATGGCTTTTTACACCTTATCCCACACTCTTCACAAACATAACGTCCTCGTCCTTTGAAATAAGAAAACAATTAAAATTAATCATTATAAAGACTAAATATAGCCTAATGCAAACAACCTAACTAAAAAAATAATAATAATAACCTGTACCACTAAAACCCATGAACGATTTTGGATTCTGTACTTTGTTAAGAAGTACTGTTTCCAGGACTAATTATAAATTAAAAAATAAATGAAAAAGCAAAACAAAGCATTTCATGATTATGGGCAAAGCATAATAATAAACTTGGTTGTCGAAAGGACCATCAAATGAAGAAGAAATAATAAAATGTCCACTAAACTAAAAGAATTATGGAGTGAATGCAATTGTATAATCAATTATAATTGATTATATGGTTTGGAGTAAATGAAAAATATTACAGAAATCAAAATATACATTTAATAATGGGAGACCAATATACATATAATAATGGGAATATATATATATATATATATATATATATATATTATATATATATATATATATATATTATATATATATATCAAACTAACCTTAGAATGGTATCTTAACTGAAAGAAGAAAGTGATGTAATGCTTAAAGACAAAGCTAGTATTAGTGAACAAAATATTTCTATACTATATGGATAAGACCTAGATAAAGAAGTTCAAGTCACTAGCATAAAATGTTTTTGTTTTTTTTCCCTAAAATATGTTAACTTAAATTGCTAGATGACTTCAGTGCTTCAAATTTTCAACTAACACAATGAATGTATATAGTTATTAGCATCTACAAGTATTGTTGGTTCCTGGGACATGTAATATTCTTGATAAAGTTAAATCAGAAATGAGGTCTTTACAGCATTACGAGACCTTACTAGCAGAAGTAACAACCTGGTTTAATATAGTGAACAATCGCTTGCAGCTGACTAAGATGGAAGCAAATGATTTCCTGAGTTCCTTTATGTGTGGCAAAACATAACTTTCTAAATATTCTATTTGAACTTAAAAAACTAGTTACATTTTTAATAATTATAAATATAGTTGAATTTATAATCAGGTTTCTTACCTCTTCCTCTTACATAAATATAGTCTTCATTTGATTCGAATCCACCTTCACAAACTTTTACTCTTTTACATGGTCCTTCAGATTTAGATTCAGCTTTCTAAAAAATCAAATAAAAAAGAAAAATGTAAAGCAAGAATACTTCTTTTGGCTTCAATAATTGTCTGCTGCAGAATTTAAAATTATTTTTACCTCTTCTGAATCACTTTTAATAGATTCCAGGTGGTCTTTTTTAAGCTGATATGTTGAATGAGTTATGAGATCTTCTTTGTTTCTGTTAGCTATGCTGTAGGCACCAGAACGATTCCTTGAATCGTAATAACTCATAGACTTTCGTGGGTCAAGACCAAGTGGATGAGGGTGTGAATCAGAACAGATCTGGAAATAAAAACAAGAAATACAAAACCTGATGTTTAATATGTTACTTCAACAATGAGGTTCTACGAAATATAAATATTTTTTTAATGTTGAAGAATTTTTACCTTCCAATTGGAATACATTGAGACTTTGTATTGATCGGGAATCAAAGGAACGTAGATGGGCTGTGGTTTGTTCAGAGTGCAGAAGAAGGTCCTAGTTGAACATTTTAGACCAAGGTATGTATAAGCGTGCCCATTGAGGTATAGCTGGCCATAAGACTTCCTGGGTCGAGGAGTTTCCGGGCTGACCAGGGTAAGATGAGGTGTTGACAACTGTCTTTTAGGAGTGTACGTTCCAGGTTTAAGTGGCAGAGAAGTTGGCCGGAGAAACTTTTTTTCACTTGTTTCTGAGTTTGACTAAAATGGTAAATAAAATTATGTTAAAAATATTAATACTAAAGTATTGCAAATACTAAAGTTGCAATTTTTAGTTTTTCATGTTAAGAAAAACTCAAGTTAACTTACAAATGTAACTATAAACTATATTTTTCAGCTACATTTTTCATACTGACAAATCAATATATCACGCTATTAAATAATTTTGAAAATATGAATGCCATATTAAAATCGAGAAATACTGAACATTGTAAACCAAAAATTATTATCGCAATGCCCCAACTATCAATGACTGTATATCTTAACCATTAACAAAAGGTTTCTTTTTCTATGCTTCTACTATTTTAACTAAAAAAACCTTAAGATAATAATTATATTAATTATAAGTTCATCAAAATCATATATTCATAAATGCTTACCGTATTTGATGGTTCCCTTGAAGCCATGGAGAGTTTTGTATCCTCACTATCTCTCTTGTCATCATTGTCCAGTTTAACAATAAGAGGAGAGACCTTGGCGATGAGTTCTGAAGGTTTAGAGGTTTTGACTATCACAGAAGCTTTCTCTGTTTTTTTAGGTACAAGAACTGGCTGGCTAGGAAGTAAGGTTTGAGGACCAGGCATGCCTGGAACATATGGTATGGGTTTTCCTCCATGCAGTATAGTGACCAGACCACCATTGGTAGGACTTTGTTTTGGGAGAGTCAAAGGATTAAAACCAGTGATGCTTGTTAAAGGATTAAGGGCCAATGGCACTTGGACAGGAGCAACTATCCCTGGAACTGAAAGGTTTGGAGTGACCACAGCTGGTTTAATTGGAAATACAGATTTTTCATGACATGGAGATTTTGGAGCTGGGATTACTGAACCAGTTTGAATCATTGTTCCACCAACACAGTGTAGGCCTGTATTTGAGATCGTTAGAACTTGTTCTTGTTTTTTCACTCCAGATTCTACATAAGCATCTTTCCTAGATGATTCTATTCTTAAGGTTTTCGTCTTCCCTCCAGAAGGATCGTTTATCTGAACTTCTCCTCCAAACAAATGTACTGATTTACCTGGCGATTTTAACATTTCCTCTCTTCTCAAGGGAAGCAGATCTAACTTCCTCCTTTTGATGAGTGGTTCAACTTCTTTCTGGATCCCATCAACTAATGGAGTGTTGCCAAGCAATGGACCAGGTGAAAGCATTAGAGACATAATATGGTCCCCCTTCAATTCCGCACAATGAGATAAATGAATTTCGAGGTTCTCAGATGACTTAAAAGTCAATCTGCAATTCGGACACACAAGTAATTTTTCTATATCTCTTTCGCCCAACGATCCTGTAGAATAAGTTTTAAGAAGGAAATCCTTTGAAGAAGAATCTGAAATTCTAGCTTCTGTTTTTATGACAGAATCTGAAATGGAACGCTTTCTTGGTTCTTTTATAGTCAGGTTAAGGGGTTCTCCAATTTCAGGAGTGGTATCTCGTGGTGGCCTAAGGAGTGCAAGAGCAAGTTTCGATGGAGAGGCTGCTTCACAATCTCCGTTCTTTGGAGCAGGGCTTGTGGGAGGGCTATCTTTGTAGCGAGGTTTAAGGGGCCAAGAAACCTCATCTACTATAGCTTGGTTGTCACTGATCAGTTTATTGATGTGCCTCTGGACAAACTCAGGGCTCGGTGATGATCCGCTGAAGGGCGAAGGTGTGGACTGCGATGAAACAGAACTGGAAGATGGGGGTATCGTCAGTTGGAGTTTTGGCTGCTGTTCCTCGGCGTATATTGTAGCGGTGTGGAACTTGGGTTTGTAAATTTTGTTCTTCACTTCAATCTTAACTTCAGATCTCGATGACTCCTCGTCATCAGAACTGCCGTCGTCCATCTTGAGAGTGTGAGCCCTTGATCTACAATGTTTATACAGGTTGGACTTTGTCTTGAAAGCGAAGCCGCAAGGAAGGCAGGGGAAAGGCCTCTCATTGGTATGCGCCCTGATATGTTTCTGGAGAACCGACGGCTTGGCGCAGGCCAGCTTACAATAAGGACAGACATATCGGCCTGCTCCGGGCGACCCTGGTCGGATGTCGTCTTCGTTCCTTACTTTCGGCGGGGACGTCTCCTCCAGGGTTGCCACCTTCTTGAACTTCTTATGCAGGTACTTGTTCGTGTCTCCCTCTGTATTTCCGGTAACCATTTTTTGCTCAGACACAACTCCGTTTTCGATAACGTTTTTTTCTAGAAAAAAACAAAAACAAACATCGTTAAAATAAAATTAGGCATTCAAGGTAATATTTTAGTTGGAAACGAATGAAGAATTTTAACTTTCATTAAAATTGTTATAAAACACATTTAAATTTAAAAGAATTGATATCAGTATGTTTTTTTAAATATAAATATGTCTTATGCATCAAAGTTTCACTACTCTTCAAGGTAAAATAACAAATTCACAAATATTTTTAACAAGACATGTGAATTATGAGATTCTCAGGCTTACGGCTCAGTCATTTAGAACACGATCTACGATCTCTTTGTATATTATGTTGCGAAAGATCCTGCTCTGTTTCATGACGAGGCTTTAAAAGTCAATCTGCAATTTGGCAAAACAAAGCAACATTTTTTATATATAATAATGTGTATTTTATTGAATATTATATATATATTTTTTATACCTTCGAGGATCAAATTAACTTTTGAATTATTTAAAAAGTAATAAGAGATGACAGGAAAAATCCAGAGGACACTAGGGTCTAAAAATAGCGGGAGTAGGAAATGGCGAAGGGGGGATGGGAGGATTACGCAAACCAATTATGATTCAGGTATTTACCGGCTCTCGATGTATCTGTGCCAGTTTCACAACTAGAGAGAAATTTCGAAAGGTCCGACGGTAAGGTGGCTTTAATAGGATCTAGTGCGTGGACTAGTACTGGCGTTCACCTGGAAGTTCACGGTAGCAAGCCATTTGATTTTTACAATACGCCATTATCACGGGGGGATCTACGGAGGGGGGGCTTTAGAGGTGAAGCCCTACCCCAAATGGTAAAATGTAACCATGGTTATGGTAAAAAATATTTTAAAATTTTCTCTTAAAGTATTATAGTTCGTGTAATTACATTTAATAGGACTTCAAGAATCACTTAAACACCATTTCATATAGGTAGTTAGCATCTTTCTTTTAAAAAAATGTAATTATCGTTATATATGATTAAAAAAAGATTTGGGCTGGAGCCCCCTCATCCCAAAATTAAATTCTGGATCCGCTAGTGGCCATTATTGCTTTCATATGCGATTTTATAGGAAAGGGTGGTAGTTCAAAATTTAGACTTGAAATTAAAATAACTAGATACCATCACATACAGTTAACAATTAAAATTATTATATTACTACATGTTTTCCCCCTAAAAATGTTATCCTTTTAATTCGAATGTTTATTCGTATTTTATTTTATTATCCTTTACACAAGACCAAACTGATAAAACAAAGTCCTTTAAAAAAATGTATTTATTGGTTGCTGCAAATTTCCATTAATTATTACCACTTTCTATTTTATTCCTTTTTGTTGTACAGGACTTGTTTCTTTTTAGTAATAAACTTCAATTCGATTCTGTCTCAATATTTATATATTTTTAAAATTGTGGATTGATGGTTGACAGTAGAGAAGAGAATGGTTGGGCTGATCATTAAAAGAAAAAAAAAAAAAAAAAAATAGTAAAGATAAATAAGTATATTTATTTTTATGTTTGCCAAATAATGAAATTATTTACAAATAAATATACATATTTATTTTTTTTACTGATTACCCCTATCAATCTCCTCTTCGATGTATTTTTACCTCCGAAATTTCATCCCATATGCCATTAACAAGGATAAACCTTTTTATAATTGATATTCATTACAGGCTAATTTACTTAAGTCATTCATGCTTTATTTAATAGTATATCAATAATATATCTAATTAAATATAATATTAAATGAAGTATAAAAAAAATTAAGAAATTAATCTCTAATAAATTTTAATTACAATAAGATTATTCTTATGTGGTGAAACGTTAGAGGTAAAAATAAATAAAAGTTGAGATATAATGGTGGAAATGAAGTTTATTTTTAGTATTAATTATTATTTATTTATGGTTCATTATTGTTCCATTACACGTATTTAATTTTATATTTTAGCACTGCGACCTCCAATGGAGTTCCTAGTACAGACGCTTGATTTCCTCCATGGTGAGTCTTTACTTTCGATAATATGTAATGATTTATTTTTAAAATGTTGATTTGAGGTAAATTAATTATAATAAATAAAAACACATTTATTTGTTTACTTTTTTATTAAAACAGTTTATTTATTTTAATGCATTTATCTATTATTCTTAATTGTATCTATTAATGCAATGAATAATTTTACTACTTTATTGGTTGGAGAAAGTCTTAAAATTTGTCTATAAACAGCTAATGATTAATAATCAATAATTCCTAATGCATTTTTATCGCCTTTTAGTCCATGGTATAGACCCCTTTTTATCGATTTATTAACATCCGCCTGAAACTTCGAAAATAGTATCATCTCATCGTAACCTACAACTATTTTATTTACGAAAACTCTTGGAACTGGGGCATTTTCAATCTGGAGAGGGGCAAACTTTGTCTATTTAATTAGGTACTAAAACTCGCTAATACACATTTGTGCGTGACCTACACCTTCAAGTTTTCAAAATAACAAGGTTATTTAGGAGAAACGGCCCAATATTTTTGTAGGCCATCTTTTTTTATCGAATTTGTGATCAATTCATCTCAGGATCCAAGTAGAAAGCGAATGGGTATTTACGAGTTTTTAGTACCTAACTAAACTACCTTTTAAGTCATGAGTCTTCTTCGGCATCTTGGGGGAGAGGATTAGGGTTGTTTTGTACAGTAGTGATCGTTTTGTCCTCTCTTCATCGAGATATCCAGAGAGCACGTGGTTAACTAACCGGGAGTTTACTAACATTTCCCTCCCTCTTCATCAGGAACTTTCCTGCAGGAAGGTTGGCAATGTTTTGCTTCAATCTTCCGCCCATTTTTTTATGGGATAGGAGATTATTAGCCCTATACCCAACCCCTGGAGGACCAGGACTTATGGTTTAAGACAAAGAGGTCGCTCACTACCCTATGAATCTCAGGAATATGCGTTTGTATATCTTAACATTTAACCTAAAATTACAATTAAACCACTAAAGATGCCACTGAAAATATTATGACATTAGGCCTGTAAGAGTTTAATGTTTAGGACCGGTGGTGATTGACTTAGTGATTCTGAAGTAGTCACCTCCCTGACTTACATTAGTGGCTTAGTAAAAATGGTGATTCTTTAAAAAAGAGCTTAGGAGCTACTAAATCACTCTCTGAAACCGTGATGAATGGGGGAAGGGGAGGTGTTTGAGGTCATCTAATGGCCAATGACTCATTGCGTATAAACGTCCTAGCTCTTTTCATCAGTTCATGGGGAGATCCGCACATTTATAGTAGGAGTGTAAACAGTATGGGATATTTGTTTGTTTTGTATTTCTGCAGTTATGTAACATAAAAATTGTAGCAATAACACCAAGTTCAGCCCTCGTTGAATGAATTTTATTATATAAAAAAAAAATGAATATAAAATGGACTATAGGAAAGATAAAAAAATATCACAATAGAACCTCAATAATTCTTATCCTGTTAATTCTAAACAAATTGTTGGTTCCTTGGAAAAATTGCGGTTATTCGTAAAAATACAATGCATTTTGTTCCCTTCGGTAATTTGTAATGATTCTCGTACACGAGACCAATTGAATGTCTTATAATTTGTGAGTCTCTATTAACAATCCTGTTTATTAGGAAATAAATTGGGCATTCCCACTATTCTATATAACTATTCATGTTTGTTTAATTTGTCTATGTTTACATTGGGTGGGATTTCTTATACTCTTATTCAGTTCAGAGTTGATTCAGCCTGAGTACAAAACGTTTAAATAAGTGTCTTTCCGTTTGCTACAAAAAAGGAATTAAGCAATGACGACAAAAAGGTCTTCGTTGGGATTACCTTCAAGCAGCAAGTATATATTTATATATTTTAGTTCATTTTTAATTTTTCATTAAACCTGTGTATTTTGTTCAGCACGTATGTAATTTTAATAAAAATTGATAATCCCGTAAATCTGATATTCTCTTAATTTTTTTAAAGTGAAAACTTGTTTAGACGCGTTTTTCTCTTGTTTGTGGAGAGTGAATTAGATTGAGCCGTCAGATCTTGCAATCAGATTGAAGTGATTTTGCAAATGGATCAAAATATCTCAAAAACTAAAACTCAGACTTGCATATTGTTAGCGAGGGAAATGTTCATCATATCATCCTCTTTGTAATTGTTTGGATTTCTCTTTAATCATTTCCTTAGCATTTTCTTTCAGTCATTTCGTTTCTATATTTTTCATCTAGTTTTCTACTAGTTTCCTCTACCTACTTACCTGTAGGTAGGAATTTTTTCTTGCTCGTTTTTGGTATAGATTTCTTGATTGAATTTGATAGATAATTACCAAAACCTCAAATTACCACAGGTGATTTTCATATTCATCATTAGAAGAGGGTTCAAAGAACATCTTGATTACAGTAAGACCTTGGCGGTCGTTGGATAAACTGGATAAACGAAATTCCAGAATCCGTTAAGTGATAACTTATCCAATGAAATACAAAATGTTTTAATTTATTAAGAAAGAACTTATTTGATTCATTTCATCAAATTACACGACATATGTTGAGAATTTAGGAAAAATACCTATAATATATTTAATGATTTATAACAAGTAGCATAATTAATAGAGTAAAAACTAGCTTTTTATTTATTTTTCGTTGAAAATCTTGGAAACTGATATTCTTATTCGTTCCTAAACTTAAGGAATATATGAGTTAACTAGGGCAGACATTAAAAACATAGAAATTCGAATTATCATAACATCTTAAAATAGGGGTTTTCGCCGCTATCAGACCACTGTGCGCTGTGTTAGAGAGGCGAAAAGAGAAAAATAATGTCGAAAAACAAATGATAACGAGTTTTATTGAAGACATGGATTAAATTTTTTAGAAACTGAAAATCGGACCTACATACTGTAAGCGAGGGAATTGTTCCGCATTTCATCCTCGCTGTAATGGGCTATTATTAAAAATTGTATTTTAACGCAACACCGTGTTAGAGAGCCGAAAAGGCAAAAATAGTGTCGAAAATCAAATGATAACGTGTTTTATTGAAGATATGGATTAAAATATCTCAGAAACTAAAAATCGGACCTGGATTTCGTAAGAAAGAGGAATGTTCAGCATTTCATCCTCTTTATAATGAGCTATCATTTATATTTCATATTATTAATCTCATCTTGCTGATGTTTTCACTTCTGGTTTAAAGCACACATCTTAGTTTTTTTAACAATCAACAATTTGTAATCTCACTCTTTCGTACTTTTCGATAATTCGTAATAAAAGTTTGTGCTTTTGACGATTTAGCGGGATGGTACTGAACATGTGATACGTATCCCATGGCAAACATAGCACCTGAGGCATTCGGCTAGAATTAACATTTATCTCGACAAATGGTTTATTTTTGGGCTTTAAAACTCAGAGGCTAATAGTTCCTCTGGGTTTATTTCGCTTTTGATTGCAATTGTAGTGAGCTTTTGAAATTATGGTTCGTCGCTTCTACAACAAACCCTCTTAGGTTCAAAATCCATCGCTTCTGAGCGTCGGAAGAGGGATCTATATTATGGATTATAAATGGACCTATAATTTATATATTGTAAATGGTTTATTTTTTTACAAAAACATAATACTAATTATATAAATTAATGAATGAATGATCTTACCATTGTTTTCTGTCAGTCTGTCTTTGAGTGGGGTCAGATTCGACTGCTGCTCTGGTTTGACACCTGTAACAGAGAGAGAGCGGTGTTTACTATAGACAGAGAGAGGACACACTGCCGACTCTATCAGGGTTCGTTGACCGGCCGCTGGAGCGCCATCTCCCGGTGAATCAGTCTTATCCTGACCCGGCTACCTGTCAGCTGTTCCTCAGGTAGTCACCTCTAATAGTCTCGCTGAGTAAGAGCCGCAAATTGTCGGTTATACAATTGCTCCTATTTATTACATACCTAACAATGGTTCCCCTTCTATACACAACATATTATCCCAACTAAGTGAAGTTTTGTGAGTCCATTAAATCATTTAGTCATTACGTCGAGCTATTTTTCCAGGCGATATCATAAGGTTCGGAAAATGGTTCACTTAGGTGTTTTATGCCTTATTAAATTCAGTACCGTCGGAATTGGCCACGAAATAATATCCAAACTTTAGTAATATATATATTACAACTATATACTTACACAAAACTAAATAGATCTTAACGCTCGTGCACACAGAATATGTCTCGGCGAAACGACATTGCTTTCTCCGATGATTTGGCGATATAGTTATATTTCATTCTATTTCCCAATCAAAGTCACACATAGTATGAAAATCCTTAGCGATACAAAGGGACCGTAAAACACTGGGACACATGGACATCGTGCACGATGCTTTAACATTATCCTCCAAACAAACTCAGTTAATTTTTCGTGCCGTCAGTAAACAATAATTATCCAAGACTTTCTTGGAGCTATTCTAATATTTATCATTAAAATATTCCTAACTATATCCGGAGCTTTACGAACATTGACTAAGACTTTCCGAAAAGCAGAGAATGAGGCTCAGGAGAAATTGTAATACCAACGTGAATACGGGTTAGCTATTCAAATTAACACATGAAGAGTGAGTGAAATAAACGTTTGAGGGTTACACTATAACCCGAACGGGAAAAGTAATCGAGCCAAAATTTAAATTTAATCTCTCTAACCCTTAAATATTATTCCAAAAATTGGTGCTTCAATCAACAACCAACGTATATTCGATACAGATCATATTTTAAAATCATCTTACGATACTCTGGGCTGAAGAGAACTTTTTCTCTTCCAGTAAAATGGCAGCTACAATCCTTTATGGACCATTTATGAACTCCCGAATATGAATTTATCGGTCATTATTACCTTGATTTACTTTATAATTAATATTGTTAATGTGCGTACAAACATTATGTTTTTGTTGAATTTACTATTTTCTTTACAACTCTATATAAAACATGCTGTAAATTGTAGAGAATTAAGACTTCTGGCTCGGCTTGCAAGAATTTAATATAGTTGGAGGAGGCGCCGACTGGGCTGACAGTAAAATCTAAGATTGGTGCGGACTGCGTATCAACAGCTGGAGGAATTCCAGGACTATTTGTCCTTAGCAGGCAACGAGCATCTTAGAAAATAGTGAACAAGAAATTGAGAATATATTTCTTATAGTTTTAACTTATTATTTAACACACATATATATATTTCTATTCGTTACCTGTTAAACAGAACAACATTGTCAGTATTAAATAGTAAAATATGTAAACCAGAACATGGGTAGAGGGCAGCCTAAACTTTTCGATTTGACTCACAAAGCTGACAACATTCAACAGGTCTGAAGGATGAATGGAGCTCGACAGAGGAAATGTTTTAGTGTTCATTCAGTAACGAGGATCGTATCGAAGGGAAGTTACGAGGGCATCCTTGATAAGTTAAAAACATCAACCGTATCTTCCACCGCCCATTGAGTCGCTGCCTTCGTTCTCTTCCGGAGTCAGCGTTTATATCCTATTCAAGAATCAATCTCCCCCTCTCCGAAATAAATCAGGTTCTTCGAAGATATTTTTAATATGTCTACTCCAAATTATCTATTAAACCCATCTCTAATACATCAGAATACGATTATAAAGGTAAGGTGGATATAATGAACACTTCTTAATATTTAAGATGTATTGTAATTAGGGATGCCCAGAAGAAGAACAAAATTTAAGAGGCCAATTTTTGAGAGGGGAGATTTCAACTGGGTCATGAATTTTTAAAATGAAAAATTTCAAACGAAAAGACAAGTGGAAGCATGGATCAGACCACAGGACGTGTAATTGTATATAATCTACGAATATTTAAATTCTACATTCGTTATCACGGTGTTTAAGAAGAGAGAAATAAAATATCTCGGAAGGGGTGGGGAAAGGATTATGCGCCATTATATTGATATTGTATTATGGTTGGTGTCTTGGATAGAAAACTAATCGCTTAAGTACAAATCATTAGTATACTGAAGGTTGGCTAAAGATTAAAGACGTAGATGGGATGATGAAGTTAAGTTAGATCTTATAGAAATATGAACTATATATGCATAATATATTTTACAAAAAAATGAACCAATAGATAAGCGGCAATAACTCACCAGCTGACTCATATTGGCGGTCTATATTCTCGGAACCTCTCATAAAAATCCGGCTGATAACACGACAGCGAACTGGTTCAACTGGATGTTTTTACTCAATAACAATTCAACTAGCAATTTAACAGTTGAAACAGTTATATTAGTATGTACTGTGTATATAAACACAGTCTGTCTGTGTTCAAGGTGTTTACTTTACTTTGTAAAGTACATTTTATTATTTTTCTAATTTATATATACATGTATATATATATATATATATATATATATATATATATATATATATATATATATATATATATATATATGTATATTCCCCTCCTTATGCTATTTTATTTTTGTATATCATAAAGAATAGTATATTTATTGTATTTTCCAAGGTTTCGACCTACAACGTAACATCACAATTTGCTGGTTTTTTAGGTTACAGACTTTTATAAAAGGTCATAGAGAAGAAATGAAACATCGTAAATTTCATTTTGTGGGATAAAAATATGCTCCAGGACAAGATCGACCGGAAAATCACTAAACCCCATTTTCCAAAGAAATTGTTCTTACACGCTTTTGGAATGCCGCTATCGATATATTTTATAATAACCAATTTAACTTACGAATAAATATAAATACGAAAGAATTGTAAGATTAACTAAAGGAGAATTTTTTGCACGGGTTGAAAAAAAAAATACTAATAAATAGTACTATAAACTAAAAGTAAAAAAAAAACAAAAAAAAAAAAAAATATATATATATATATATATAAAATATGTGACCCTTGAAAGTAATGGGAAAGGAAGAAAAATATATATATTTAACAGATAAACAGGGGGAGAAACATATTCTAATCAATGTTTTATTATTAAAATGTTGCAGATCTATAATTTTAACTTTCACTTAAACATAAGAATACCTACCCATTTCTACTCAATGTGCAGGGTTCAATAAAAGTATTTTTTTAAAATAATAAATGTTAAATGCTGATAAGTATACTGTGTTTAACAGAGCAGTCCTATTTCATAATTATTTAATGTGTTTCTCACAATTCATTTCGTTTATCTAATGCAGTAACTGAGACGAAAGGATGGTGTAAAATCGAAAATGATAAAATTAAAATGTAATAAAAAAGAATCGACAGATATATTAAATACAAATCAGATCAAACGAGTCCTGGGAAAAAAACTTTTAAACACGTTCGCCAGGTGTCAGCAATGCTGAGTCATAAGGTATGTCTTAAGAGAGAAAGTTTAATGAAATACCTCTACAACGGGAACTGACTAGAGCACAATCTATATCAAATTCTTATCGATAGATAAGCGATATTTCATCATTTAGCTCAAATTTATTTATTTTAATGAATATATTATCTAAATATCTTCATACCGAACTCAAGAAACGACGATAAGACTAAAGTTTAATATTTTTTAATAAAATTTACCCGTACAGAAAAAAAAAAATTAAAACAAAAACTCATTCCGTAAATAAGTTTATTAAACCTTCTCCACGTTTGAACGTATTATTATTATACCTATAAGAACCAAGCTGTAACACTAAATTTATTTAAAATTTTTTTTTATGATTAAACTACGAAAAAATATTAAATAGATTTTTACTTTTTTATAAACATAATTTTTCTTTGACCGTTATTTGCATTATAATTTCGTCTTCTGATTAATTTTTCAGGAAGACATCTTAATTTATAGTTAGGTAAAGAATTATAATTCCATAAAAAGGCCAAATCCAACAATTCACTACTTTACAAGAGAGCATATTTGGCATTTAACAAGTAATGTTTTTGTCATTATTATATGGAGAGGTATGCGAGAAAGATTTACGAATTAGCAATATGAATTTTATAGATTTAACATTTTTCAAAACCGTAACTCTTCATGTTATAAATCTTAAATCTTCATGAATTAAACCTTTTTACAAGATAACGACGGATATATGTAAACATAAGCTTCCAAAAATTATTTAAACGTTTCAGAACTTCCAAAATATTATGTATAGTATCGGGTCAAAATCAATTTTTAAATGAACTTCAATATGGTTAATTTTACTTTTTTTTATTAAACTTTTTTACTCTTCCTCACAACAAATTAATAAGATAAAAATTTCACTCACATCTCAAACTTTTGCTATATTTTTTAAAGAAACGATCAAAATTACCATTAATTGAAAGATTTGTGCTTGCCTACGGAGACAGATTTGAAAGAGCTCAAATATACTGAGCTCAAATATGAATAACAAAGTAACTTACTATACTAACTTACTAGGTGAGATAAACGATGTGGGGTCACCGATTTTAATGAAATTTTTTTTTGTTATACCAGGTCGAAAAACATATGATATATTCGAGGGTTCTAGCCAATCCCGCCATATGAGAGAAGAAAAAATATATATATAAATAATTTCAATTTTTTTTTTCATATTTCTTTTCTGTGTTTGCTCTTCATGGATTTTAAGGTCATAATATTGGGTATCTCAGTTATTAATGGTTAAACTCTAGTGGGTGAGAGAGGGGATGCTTTCTCAATCAAATTTACAGCAAAAAAGTTCATTTGATCTTAACTTCTTTTCCGTTTGGAATCGGCCGATGTAACCATATG